CCTTCAGGTGAACAGCCCAAACGGTAGCCCACGATGCCACCAGGAGCTTCCTAAATCTGTAGGGCCAAAAATACTAGGAGAGCTAGACTGTCCTAGAAATTGAGAACCTTGAAAGGTGCCTGGTGCTCGTTGGCCTCCGTCAAGGGCATGTTACTTTGGCGTCGATAAGAGCAGCCGAGCGTGCTGTGTGTAAGAGAATTGTGTATTGGTTTATTGTTGGCCTTGCTTTCTCTCCCCACCCTCTCACCCCCTCTCCACGCTAATTCTGAATCATGCGTACTGCAAAAGTTGCCACTTTAACTATTTCTTTCAATAAAGCTGCAATTGTCTGTATTTTTCCTACAGAACCATTTTAGCACCAAAATGCACAGAAAAGCCAGTTCCTGGACATGAAGGGCTGAATCGTTGCACTATTCTTAACCGAGCACTAGATTTCCATCTGAGATTGTTTTTGAACTTGACAGGGCATATTGGATATTTATGAAAAATCTGAGAGTTGATAACCGTGAGGCTGTAGGTTTAGATGTGCCCTTTATGCTTGTTGGGTGTTTTTTTAATAAAGTAACTGCATTGCAGAGGGATCTTGTTATCTCTAAAATAAAACAGATTAGGAAAGCTGTTTTTCAAAGGGATGAGAAAGCATCCATTTCCAGATGTGTCAAAAACTACTGAATCACACTGTCAAAGGATTATGCGGTTGGAGGCAGAAATCAGAGAGAAAGAAAGAGAGACGGGGGGAAAAAAGATATTTGCCATACTGTTAAATAAAGGTCTCAGATTAGTTTTAGAGTGCTCTTTCCTTTGACAAAATAAATGATGAACAATTTTAGAAACATATTTTCTACGCTGGAATTTTTTTTTCTTCAAAATTCTTAGACACGGGAGGGAATATCAAATCTCCCGGAAATCTGGCAGACCACAAAATAGAATAATTTTTATTCCACAGATTTCATATCAATTGCTTCAAGGACACATGGGACATCATGGCCTATTTAGAGTTATAGTTGGCCTGAGTTTTCTCTTGAGTGAATGTATTTCTAGAAATACTAAACTTAATTGGCTTTCTAGTTTTCCTATCAATCAAAACGGAACACTCACGCTGTCAAGCTTCACCAGCCACGGCAAGAAGCATCTGGTAGGGAGAAAGTCTAAATGGTGACATTTCTAAGAGTAAGGCATGGGTCTGTCCCTGGTGGGCATAGTCCACCGCTCACTCCAGAAACCCAACTGCCCTTTTCTTTGGGAGAAAATGAAACAGTAAATCTTATGCTTACCCTGGAATAAGCTTTTATTGTAGGGTTTCATCCATGTTTAGGCTCTCCCTGTATATTTGGTCATTTCCAGTTTCTATATAAAACGATATTTGTGTCTACTATGTGCTGGGTGCTAAGGATACAGTGAGGACTAGGAATAGAATAGTAGAATAGGGTGGAGGGAGAGAGAGAGAGAAACCAGAAGAGAAGAGAAGAGGAGAGGAGAGAAAGAGAGAGAGAGAGAGAACTGTTAACAAGTAAATAGTATCAAGCACTGATAAATGTCAGGATTAAAAACAAGGCAGTAAGGGGCCATGTGAACGACATGCCACACGATGTAGCTTGGAACTGTTGACTCTCTCCAGACCATGCCTAGCAGACAGGTGGGGGAGATAGAGGCAGAAGCCTCCAAGCTGGCCAGTGGGCCTGGACTGCAATAGGCAAGAGAGAGTCAAAGGCGGGGAGTTTGGAAAGTTAGGCACGGGCTACTTCTTCCATGACTCGGTAGGACATATTTAGGATTTTGCTATTTTTTGAATAATGATGAGGAGCGCCATAAGACAGACTCGTACATGTTCCTAAAGGATTCACCACCTCACTCCTTTTCTTTGCTCAGATTCGGATAGTCCTATAAACTTTACTCATTTCTTGATTAAAGACTCATAATCACAAGAGCATATTATATGTTCTGAGCTATTCAGAGTAAAGATAATCTTTCCATGTTCAATTTTTCCCCTCCACACACCCCTCCGCCCCCCATGGGACTCTTGTTCTCTAGGTAACAGGTATTTATTTTCGAAATGGCCAAAGCGTGGTGATGCAAAGACCAATAGCATGAATCGGTCCCCTCCCTGCTCATTCGCATGGTTCTTTGCTCCATGGCCAAGTCTGACATTACCATCTCAACCACTCGACAAGTATGCTCATGGGCCCCGTGGAGGGCAGTGCTCATGACTGAACCAGGCCCATTCCCTGCTTCCTTGGAGTCCAGTTACCCATACCAGTGTTCGTGCAACTAACTTTGGCTAAATTCCATCTGTAAACCTGCAGGGGCTCAACAGATGGTTTTTAGTTTAATTACTAAAAGGTTGACAAATGAAAGCTGACTCCTGGAGAATATGAAGCGGTATCCTTTTCTAATAGGTGCATTTATCTGGTGCACAAATGGTACTTCTCCATACACACCCTCCACCACACAGGACCCACCAAGGTTCCAAAGGCTCTGTGAGAGTCACCAGCAGGACAAGATAAACTGTGCGTAGTAAGCAGCTGACATCTTTCTTTTAGTCTGCAATTCTGTTTGCAACATGTAAAGGTACATTGGTAGGAGACAGCGATACTGTCTGAAGACACACGCTCTGGTATGATGTAAGTTCAGTCCAGCAAGCTGGGTTCTTTTCAAAGAAGGTCATAGATGTTTCTAAGTAGAAACTGATTTAAGATTATTGACACGAACACCCCCTTCAGAGGCATGAAACATGCCTTTCAGAAATTGCCTTTTCAACACAGAGACATAGATCATATGTGCACCAAAAAAGCACAGCACGGACCAAGGCAAGAACAAAGCCCAAGCACAACTGGATATTGGTGTCTTTGATTTACAGAGCAGACCACGGACAGTGAGATCAAAGATGAAGCAGTCACAAAGACTGATTCAGTGGAAAAGGTAAGGAATAATTTTTCTAAAAGCGTAGATGACAAATAAGATGATTTGAGGGACCTATGACCCCACCCCCACCCCCAGTGGGAAATACACTCTCACAAAGAAAGAGATGCGTAGAGGGGAGAGATTATTCAGACATCCCCATACTGGCCACAGCTGGGGAAAAAGGGGTTAATTTTACTAGCCAGCTCAAGCAGAACTTCCAAACCCCACGCTCCTCTCCAGACAGTGTGGCTTGGCGTCTTCACAAACACCTGCTGACCATACCGCCATGTAGAACTAACGCTGTCTTGAAGTGAGTTCAGAAAACCTGCCTATAATTGCTAACAGGACTCAGAAGAGTCTAACCTAACAATAAAAATATTTAGATTATGTTGCCCATAAAAAAAAAAGTCAAAGACATACTTTTTCTGGCAGCAGTTCTCCTAAAATGTTGCCATATGGATTTATACATATGCAGATTTCCCCAATTAGAATGGAGTGCATGCTGGTGAGTTGGTGGCATCCAAGAGGGCTCCATTTCGACTTAAACAAATTAAAGCTGGAATTGTGTCGGTGCGCTTTTTTAGAAACCTAAGAAGAAGACTGTGGAAGCGAATTTGGAGGACATCAAGAAAACACAGCAGCGCAGTCTCATGGACTGGAGTTTTACAGAACACTTTAAACCCAAAGTGCTGCTTCAGGTATTTATGGACCACAGTGCTCTAGGAGACAGCTGGCGAGGTCTGGGGCGTTCGGATGTGATTTAGAACAGGTCACTTCTGGGTGACTTGCTCAGCTCTAGTTCAGATCCATTTTTCTGTGTGCTCCAGCTAGGAGATGAGTGTATTTCTGCATTGTCCTCTCCAGTCCCAGGATGCACCAAATAGTTTAAAATATACTTTACAAAAGGAATTCTTTAAATAAAACATTTTAAGGAAACACACCTATTATATATATTTTCTAGAAAGAAAAAAAAGATTGAGGAACAACAAAAGAAAACCTTCACTTTTTCCTACGTTTTTCAATGCTTTCTGCTTTTAGTAACATATCAATTTAGCTATGATGACTCACTGTCACAGAGTCAATTCCAATGCATAGTGACCACGTAGGACAGAGTGGAATGCCTCTGTGGGTTTCAAGAGTGTAACTCTTTACAAGAGTAGTGGCTGGTGGTTTCGAACTGCTGACCTGGGGGTTAGCAGCCCAATGCACAATCGACTGACACTTACTGGGCACTTGCCATGTTCTAAGCAGTGCGCCACATATGTTATTAGCTCAGCTACCACTCGCAATACCTGTGAAGTCCCAGTTGGCTGGTTGTTTTGCTGCCAGGTGCCATCGAGTCAGTTCTGGTTCCGAGCTACCTCTTGTACAACAGAAGGAAACACCACCACTAACCACTTAAGTAGTGGTCAATGGAGGTTTCTAGTCCAATCGTAAGTTTTGCCTAAGGTCACGTAGTTGGGACCTGGCGGTCAGAACATGGAATCCAGAAACTGGCCCCAGAGTGTGTACTATTAGGCGCTATGCAAAAGAGCAAGTAATCCTAAAGTGAACACCTTTTGTTGTTTTGGATTGCACGCAAAAAAACCTATACTCTCTATGGCCTTGCCATTTCATTTATTGTTGTATTTTTATCGAGGTTTCAAAACGTTGTTGTTGTTGGGTGCCATCTGGAAAGTAGTTTCTGATTCACAGCAACCCTCTCTGTGTGCGGCTGAATGAAACATGGCCCAGTTCTGCACCTTCCTCACAGCTCTTGCTGTGTTTGAGCTCATTCTTGCAGCCGCTATGTTACTCTTTGCTAAGGACCTACCTCTTTTTCACTGACCACCATGCCCTCTTTCTGCATGGATTGGTCTATACTGACAAGATGTCCAAATTAAGTAAGACGAAGGCTTACCTTCCCTCATTCTAAGGAGCATTCTGAATTCACTTCTTCTAAAACAGATTTGCTCATCCTTCTGGAAGTCCATAATCTTCTCAATATTTTTTTATTAATACCGTAGTTCAAAGGCTACTCATAGTCTACTCAATATTTTTCATCAACACCATAATTCTTCATTCTTCCTTATTCATTGTCCAGCTTTCAAATGCATATGAGGTGTGTTAGGCTGGATTGTCTAGAGAAACAAAATGAGTGACACTCGAATATGTATAAGCAAGAGTTTTATGTGAACAAGCAATCTTATATGGAAAGAAGGCCTCCCAGCCCAATCCAACTCAAGTCCACCAGTCTGATGCAAGCCAGGGGCCACTTCTGTCTCTCGTAGCTGCAGGCTAATGACGAAGAAAGACGGTGCCGGACCAGTGGGTGCAGAGTCACTTGACCCAAGGTCTTGGAAAAGTGGCCGGGTGCTGACAGCTCTCAGGTCGGGTGGTCCACAGGGGGCCACCCCTGGAGGCAGAGTCCAAGCAAGCAAGAAGGCAACGTTGCAGAGAGAGGAAGGTCCCAAGCCTTCCTTCTTGATAAGAAGGCCACACTCCCAAGGAGGCATCAGCAGGCTGTGACCTGATTGACAGGCTGGACTCCACCCCTACACTTTCATAAAAAAAATTATGAGTTACCACACAAGTTGATCGAAAATGCTGTGATTTAAATATTTTCAAAGACCTCAAAGTGATATCTTTGCCTTGAAACACTTTAGTAAGGTCTTTTGCAGCACATGTGAACAAAGTAATAGATGGTGTGTGTTTTTCACGGCTGCTTCCATGGGTGTTGACTGCGGTTCCATGACGGCTTCAGGTTTTCCTTAAGTTATCATGCTATTGCTTATTGATCCAGGGGTGAGGATTTTGTTTACACTGAGTTGTAACTAATATCAAAGGCTGTCGTCTATGAACCTCACCCGTAAGTTCTCCAAGTCACCTTCACTCTCAGCAAGCAAGGTTGTGTCATCTGCATATCGAAGGTTGTTAATAAGCTTTCCTCCAAACCTGATGCGAGGCTGTTCTGCATACAGTCCATTTTCTCAGATTATTTGCTCAGTATGCAAATTGAATACATATGGGAAAAGGATACAACCATGATGCATATCTTTCATGATTTTAAGCCAAGCATTATTCCTTATTTCAGTTTGAATGATTGCCTCTTGGTCTATGTACAGGTTCTGTTAAGCACAATGAAATGTTCTGGAATTCCCATTCCTCACAAAGTTATCCACAATTTGTAACGCACAAAATTAAATGGCTTTGTAGAGTCAAGAAAACACAAGCGAACATCATTCTAATATTGTCTGCATTGAACCAAGATTCCTCTGTCATCCACAATAATATTCTTCATTCCATGTCTTCTTTAAATGCAGCTTGACTTTCTGGCAGCTCCATGTCGATGTACTGCTGCAACCATTTTAAAATTATCTACAGAAAGCTTTAGCTCTTGTGATATTAATAAGGACCTATAGAGTCTCCCCAGTTTACTCACATGGGACTGCTAACCACAAGGTCAGCAATACAGCCCACCGGTCCCTCCAGAGGAGAAAGATGTCCATTCCCATTAAGCTTAGTCTCAGAAACTCTAGTGTGTGGCTCTGCTCTATCCTACAGGGTCACTGGGAGGCAGAATCAACTAGATGGGAATGGACTTTTGCGGGGGTTGGTTATATTAATGCTAGTTTTCAATAATCTCTCTATTCTGTTGGATAGCATTTCTTTGCAGTGGTTATCAATATGACCTCTTCCATCAGTTGGTCAGATAGCTGTCTTCCAAACTTGGGGCCATAGATGAATGAGTGCTTCCAGTGTTCCTTTTCAGTCTTCCACCCATCTTAATTGGCGTTCTGTCAATGCCTGTAGCTTTGGTTTTTGCCAAGGCTTCCAGTACAGATGGGCTTTTTTCCTTTTAGCTCTCA